AACATGATAAGGATTCTTTTCAGCCTGTCATCTAAATCATTGATAAAAAAAATATTGAAGAGTAATGGCCCAAGGAAGAACTCTAAGGCATTGCACTTGAAACCTCCTTCCAGTTTGAAGCACAGCCATTTATGATGACTCTTTGAGCATGCTTTCCCAACCAATAAGGGATTTACCTGACAGTGTTTTTATCTATTCCACAATTGTTTAATCAGAGTATTATGGGAGACCTTATCAAGTGCTTGGTGAAATTCAGAAAAATGGAATCCACAGCATTCTCGCCATCTACTAGATCAGTGGTTCTCAACCTCCCTAATGCCGTGACCTCTTAATACAGTTCCTCATGTTGTGGTGACCCCCAACCAGCAAATTATTTTCATGACAACTACACAACTGTAATTTTGCTACTGTTATGAAGCATAATGTAAATATCTGAAATGCAGGATGTATTTTCATTCACTGGACCAAATTTGGCACAAATACCGATACGCCCAAATTTGAACATTAGTGGAGTTGGGTGGGGGATTGATTGTTTGTCATTTGGGAGTTGTAGTTGCTGGGATTTATAGTTCACCTACAATCAAAGAGCATTCTGAACTCCACCAATAATGGAATTGAACCAAACTTGGCATATAACTCCCATGACCAAGAGAAAATACTGGAAGGGTTTGGTGGGCATTGACCTTGAGTTATTGCTTGAGTCCAGAGAGCACTGTGGACTCAAGCAATAATGGATCTAGACCAAATTTGGCATGACAATCAATATGCCCAAATGTGAACTCTGCTGGAGTTTGGGGAAAATAGACCTTGACATTGGGTGTTGTAATTACTGGGATTTATAGTTCACCTACAATCAAAGAGCATTCTGAACCCCACCAAGGTTAGAATTGGACCAAACTTCCCACACAGAATCCCCATGACCAGCAGAAAATACTGTGTCATTGGCAACCCCTCTGACACCCCCGCACGACCCCTCCAGGGGTCCCGACCCCCAGGTTGAGAAACGCTGTACTAGATACTTGATTTTTTTAAAAGATGGAAGTTTTGTTTACTTGACAAACCTATGCTGGTTTATACAGTCCACTGCATTGTCCTCAAGATATTTGCAGACAAATTCCTGTGTAATCTGTTCTATTTTTCCTGGTGTTGCGGTCTGGTTGACTATTATGTAGTTTTCTGGATTTTCTTTGTCTTTTTTTTTAAGTGAGTGGCACTGTTTGCTCTTCTCCACCCCTTTGGTACCTCATCTGCTTTTCAACATTTCTTAAAAATGATGGCAAATGGTTCAGAGAAGACACCAGTAAATTTCTTTTAATTAAGGAGAAATATTTGGCTAAGTTTGTATCACAAGTGTATCTGTGTAGAAATGAGAAGGGTTTTTTTTTTGCTACATTATATTCCTCAGTTAAACTATGTAAAAAAATAACATTGCTGGGTCAAGTTCGCCATTTATACACCACTTACCTCTGGCCTATAGTGACAGCTGGGCAATTTTTAAAAGCATCTTAGTTCTGCCTCTGAAACACGATCAAGTTGCTACTTACATCTAATTTCACAACTCAGAGGAATCTTTAATCATAGTAATAGAAAATGTGAATCTCTATCAAAGCCATAGTTCCAGGATCATAATATCTAGACATCTGATGCTTCACATTACATTCTAATGCAATCTTAAAGGTGTGCATATGAGCAAGGAGATAATTTAGTTTATAATATAAAATACATTTCATTGACGGCTCCAATTCACTCAGTTCCTGGGTCAGTGCAAACTTGAACTTAGTTGTTTGATGTAGGGAACATAATCCAAATGTATAAGGGTTCCCTTTTCCACCTGCTATGTGACAGTTCTCCAGTATAAATCTTTAGGTTGGCTATAAAAGTATATCATGGCTACTGGTATGCCTAGGGGTCTTATAGGACATTTTTTTAGGAAAAAGGGAAGGCATTATATATTCAATTTTGATTGCTGTGTAACTCTATTGGAAGCATTTAATGACATTATTATTATCATTATTATTTTTAATATTTATACCCCACTTTACCTCAACCATGGGGGACTCAAAGTGGCTCAACATAAAAAGCATCACCATAACAATTTAAATTATACAAATATGTGAACATTAAAACAGGATTAAATATAAAAAGAATTTTAAAAATTCCAGTTAAAACCCATTAACACATATTAAACCATGGCAGTCAAAGTGGTGTCAAGCTGCTATAATTTCGCAGTGTAGCTGTACCCTTGTTCAGTGGTTGTCACTCATTGGTCCTCTAGGTTTTTGAGACTTCGGCTCCCAGAAGGCCCAGATAATGTGGCCAATTCTTGCGAATTGCAGGAATTAAATCTAACATACCAGGAGGACCACATTTTCAGAATTACTTTTCTAGGTGGGCATGATAGAGAGACGTGCTTTGCTTTTACACTACCACCAGCTACATTTCCTCTCCTACACACATAAAATATAATATAATAATATTATTAGCATAGTACAGGAGACAAGGTGGAACTGTCCCCTGGCCCCCTCTCTCTTCACTCTGGCCCAGAGCAGCAGTTGGGGAGGGGTCCCCAACTATATATACAACCAAATATACAATTTTATCCCATGTGCCAGGCAGGCCCGTAGCCAGGATTTCGTTTCGGGGGGGGGGGGGGGGCTGAATTTTTTTCAGGGGGGGTTTCGGGGGGGCTGAGTTTCGGGGGGGGGGCTGAGTCTGAGTGAAAGAGGGTCTAGCCTAGCAAACCTTTTGTATCATTACCCCAATACCCCCATGCATATGGGATATATTGAGTATGGTGATCAGATCATGATATGAATAAACATAACAGTTTAAATAATGCACCAGTAAGGCCTTTTCGCGAACCCACCATGAGAATTTCGGGGGGGGGGGCGGAAGCCCCCCCCCCCCCCCCCCCGGCTACATGCCTGATGCCAGGTCAATGTGGGTAGGCTGGTGATAACTGCATTGTAGAATGAATGCAGTTTGACACCCCTTGAACTGCCATGGCTCAATGTTATGGGGTCCTTGGAGTTGTAGTTTGGAGAGGTGCCAGCCTTACGGGGCATTGTAAACCTCCAACCCTCATGATTCCATAACACTGAGTCATGGCAATTCAAGTGGTGTCACATCTGTGTTTCATGCACACTGGTCTTCCAGGTGATCCGGAGTGCATTTCCCACAATCCCCGCTCATTGGCTGAGGCAGCGGAGGCTTCTGGGAGTTGAAGTCCAAAACTCTTGGGAGGACTAGAGCTAAACTACACTTCCCAGGACTAGACAGCATGAGGCTGTGGCACTTCAAGTGACATGAATTAATGGTTATTTAGTTGTGCCAGGCAGCTTCCATATTGCTGCATTGATTAATTCCTTCTGAGTTTTAGTTAATAATACAAAGGGTTTTAGAGAAATAGGGATCAGTAACACAGTTATTTTAAACCTCAAAGGGGGATGGGGGTGGATTCTCCACTCTACTGAATGGAAGTGATCACTCGTTACTTCACCTATTCCACATGAACCTGCATTTTCATTAGTAAAGACAGAAAAGAAAGGTTGCAAATAGGAATTATGCTAGGGTGATATAGTGGATCTATTAAAATAGCATTGTTATCACTACTTTTCAATGTTCAGTATATGGTCCTAAATCTTATATTTACATTCTTTTGTTTTATAATATCAAGGTAGGGCTGTAATTATTTGCTCATTTAATAATCAAAAGAAGCAACAAGTAATTTTAGCAGTTTTCTCCCTCCTCTGAGAAAGTATTTAAAAACAGCTATTTTCTAAGGTTATCTACAGTTTTCAACTGGTTCAATGCAAAATGTGCAATGTGGCATTTTTTGCACAGAAAAAAAAATCTTATAAATATTATTTTCTGCACAGCAAATTATGTGATCCAGGACATTTAGTAAAAAAAAAATGCATGTGATATTTTTGTGAAGAGAACAGCATTTTCTGCACAAGAAATAGTATTTTACCTAGATAAAGAAAACATTTCTGTGTAGTAACACTATTTTTGACACAGAACATTCTGATTAACATGGAGAAAAATCACATTGAAATGTTGCATGGAATAATATTTTATTTTTATACCCCACCACCCTGAAGGGACTCGGGGCAGTTTACAAGGGGACAAGCCAAAAAAAATTACAAGGTTAAAAAAAATACACAATAAAATAAAATGAAAACAAATTAAAATCAACAACAGCATCAGAAAAACAGTTAGAATCATAAGTGCACATTTAAAAAAACAGTATAATGGCTGAAAGATTAGGTGACGGAATAGTCTCATCAGCCTAGTTTTCTTCTTATTGGACCTCATACTTGAGAAAGATGTTAATTGGGTTTTTTTAGTATTTGTCATTTGATCAGGCAGTCAAGTTCTTCAACTGAGAATTCCAAATATTTAAATTCAATATCCATTGTTACATAGGATAAAACCACAGCAATTAAAGAGTGTAGTAACTGTGAAGTGTGAAAAGGTGCTGGTTTGGCCCTAAGAAACCATACTGTAACAGCCATAGCAGTAAGACCACACACAAGCATCTTTCCCCCTGGGCCCTCGACTAGAGGAAGAGGTGACATTGGATACTTCCTCAATGTTTTGAAATATCTGATCTCATTTGAATGTTGCTTTCATAGATATTATTTCACAGTGGGTTTCATATCTTTGTGATTCTCTTTTTCATTCCAGCTTCTGCCTTCTTCAGAAGCCTTAAATAAGTGTATGCCTCTACCCAAGGTGGCATTTACACAACACTACAGATGAAATAATCCAAAGTGGATGAATGCTGATAGGAGTAATGTTCCAAAAAGTGTCCACGCAGTATTAGGGCTCTGAATCTCTATATCCAGATGTTCTCTCTTTTCCTCTTAGTATTTCTGTATTCAAAGTGCTGCTAGGACTTTAAACATATATTCACTACACATTTCTCTCTAAAGTAAAGCACTTTTTTAACTGAGCTGTTTTCTGTTAGGACACTTGCAGTGCAATGAACAGATTACCTGGTTAGGCTTTGCATTTTCGCAGACAACTACATCATAGTCTTCGGCAAGCTCTGGAGGGTTGTCATTGACGTCAAGAATTTTAATTCCAACAGGGACATGGCTCAGGAGACCAGGACTTTCTGTAAAATGGAAAAGAATGAAGCAATTCAATAGGTTCAGAAGACATTTACAGTGTCACAGCTTGTCCTCAAAGCACTGCTCTGGCCCTGAAAGCAGAAGATTGGAAGTCTATTAAAAATAACAGTTTGTCAAAAATTCCAAAGGTTACAGCAGAACTACAGTGAGATGACAACCTTGTAAAACTGTGGTCTGCTAAGTCTCACCGATTTTTGAAACAGAAATCAAAAGCTTCAGTGTTCAGCTGTAGATCTGTAATGCCGAGGCTATTAAAAGGAACTAAGGAACAAGAGTGGAAGACATTTTCAGAATTTATTACAAACTCCTCTGTTGTAAGCCAAGAATGACTGAACTGATTTCATTTGATGTTACAGCATTATGTTGGTGCCGCATGAGGAGTAGGAAATAAAAGAATAAAAACTACAAGAAAGGGATAAGGGAATGCTATCTTGCTATTATATTAGTGTTTTAAATGTTGTTGTAATATAATAACAAAATCAACAACAACAATAATTTTTATTTCTTACCCAGTTGCCTCTCCTCGAGGCTCAAGGTGAGGCACAACGCAGTTAAAAACACATCAACATAAAATATTATGTTTAATATATATATTAAAACATGTTCCATGAGATACATGCGTTAAAATACACAGACAAAGATTAATATACTGTAAATGAAGGACATGTGTTTAAAATTCATAGTTAAAATTGCCTTGGTTGGCCTGCTGGAAGAGATAGGCATTCAATTGTCTCTTAAATTCCTGCTGCTGATTTAGCTGTTGGATTTCTTCCAGCAGGTCATTCCACAGTCCTAGGGCAGCTGATGAAAAGGTCCTCTGGGTGATGGTTGCCAGTCGGGTTCTGGCTGGCTGGAGTAGCCACCCCTCCTCCCACCTCCCCAGAAGACCTCAGTGTCCAGGGAGATCCTGTACAGACCCCAACCATGTAGGATTTTAAAGGACAAAACCAACACCTTGTTCTTTGCCTGGAAACCAATTGGCAACCAGTGGAGTGACTATAGTATAGTTACTCCACTGTAATATGCCCATTTTTGGATATTCCTGTAACTAGCCTGGCTACTGTGTTTTGAATTAATTGAAGTTTCCAAACTTGGTACAGAGGTAGCCCAATTTGAAGCTTATTGAAGAAGTCCAACCTTGAGATTGTCAGTGTGTGCACCTCTATCTATCTATCTATCTATCTATCTATCTATCTATCTATCTATCTATCTATCGTCATTGTGTGAATGTCATGTTATCATGGTAAGGCAAGCAATCATAAATGAGGCAGGAATGCAATTTAGATACCGTTGTTCTTTCTAGAAAAATCAAAAATGCATCTAATCTGGATGAGGGAAAACAAATTGAAATTGAATCTAGACAAGACATAGGTAATCTTGGTCAGTCGTAGGGCCAAACAGAGCATAGGGTTACAGCCTGTGCTGGATGGGGTTACACTCCCCCTGAAGGCACAGGTTCACAGCTTGGGTGTGATCGTGGACTCATCGCTGAGCCTGGAGCCCCAGGTTTTGGCGGTGACCAGGGGAGCATTTGCACAGTTAAAACTTATGCACCAGCTGCACCCGTACCTTGGGAAGTCTGTCTTGGCCACGGTAGTTCATGCTCTGGTTACATCCCATATACACTACTGCAATGCTCTCTACATGGGGTTGCCTTTAAAGACTGTTCAGACCTCCAAACGGGCCATTGGGTGGCAGCCAGGTTGTTAACAGGAGCCATGCTCAGGGAGCACAAAACTCCACTGCTCCGTCAGCTCCACTGGCTGCCAGTTTGCTACCGAGCACAATTCAAAGTGCTAGCTTTGGCCTATAAAGCCCTAAATGGTTCTGGCCCAGCTTACCTGTCCAAATTAATCTCCTCTTATGAACCATCTAGGACTTTAAGACTGTCTGAGGAGGCCCTGCTCTCGGTCTCCCCTCCGTCTCAGAAGCGGTTGGTGGGAACGAGAGACAGGGCCTTCTCAGTAGTGGCCCCTCGGCTGTGGAACGCCCTTCCTAGGGATATTAGATCGGTCCCTGCCCTCTTAACATTTTGCACAAAGATTAAAAACTGGCTTTTTGAGCAGGCATTTGCAAATTCAATGTATCAGGCAATGATTGACCACGGAACAACTGATGATGCGATTGAATAGTGATTTCAGTAAGGAGACGTTAAGGATGTATGATTTTATTGACTTTTTATGAACCTATAATTATATGCTATGTTTTAATTGTATTTTATACGTTGGGGGGCATTGAATTGTGCCAAATGTAAACCCCCTTGAGTCGCCTTCAGGCTGAGAAAGGCGGTATATAAATACAGTAAGTAAGTAAGTAAGTAAATAAATAAATAATAGTCCCAGTGCCCTTTTCCAGTAATGATCATCCTAATGTTTTTGGGAATGTAATAGTCTTCTTCTGGTGGTGTTTCCCGCAAAACTATCCACGAACCTGAAGTTTGCATGTGACTACCAGCGATAAATAGATTTATGTCACATTACTTTTTCAAATCCCTTATACAGCAAGAGTTATCTGTTCAGCCAATTAAAATCAACATTTTCCCATTCGAAGCCTCCCTGCCTGATTTTTTTGTCAATTTCAAGAGCACGTCAACAATTTTGGTTTTGATGCAGTAACAGTCTGTCCCCAAAGTTAAATGAGTCCATATAACAGAATAATATAGAGAGCACAACACATGATATTCTCTATTCTGTTATATGGAGCTCTAGATTCAATGAAAGATAATTAAGTGCCCACCATGTTATACTTCTAATGTGCAATCATACTGGATTATCTTTCACATTGCCATTTGCAGATAAACAGCCTCATCACACTAAAACATGGATCCACTTTAAATCCAATATCAGCCTCCTGCAGAATTCTGGGGTTTGTAGTTTAGTGAGGTTCAGGACCTCTCTGGCCAAGCAGTTTAAAGTCCCCTCCCTAAACTACAAGCCCCAGAATTCTTCAAGGAGGAAGAAACTGGATTTAAAGTGGATCTATGCTCAGTGTGATGAGGTCTTTTTAGTACATTTATCTTTAAAAAGAGACAGGGGTAACTATTGCACATTGCATGGGTCTTCTCAATTATGCTTCGTTCAGCAATGTGAATTATTGAGGTTTATTGCATTTGCAGCTTGTTTAATTACACATCGTGTTCCTTGTCCAAAAGCATAAGCTGCAGCATAAATGAGTGCTAATCACAATCATCACTGCTAACCTGAATAATTGGCTTAATTTGTGAGATGAATCATGCAATAAGATCCCCAGAGACATATTTATGACAATAACATTATTATCATTAGGTGACAACAGAAAACAGTTTGATTCTTCCAAAGATACAATGAATGGATGCCCATTTGGCTCCTCTCCATTCTTTCTTTATTGGATAATAAAACTTTGTTTTAATTTTAGACTTAGGCATTCTAATATTTGCAAGTCACCTTGAAGTTATAATTGTGGAAAAGTGAGAAACAAATAAAAAGTGTCAGATTTCAAATTAAACACCCCAGGCAGGATTAAATATCTTCTTTTTGCCATCTATTTGCAACAACATGTCTGTTAGATGAATGTAGCATTAAACCATCTGAGCTATGCCAGAGTTCTTTTGGATCTCCAAATGTTTTGGGCTGTAGCTCATATAGTCCCTACTGTTGCCTATGTTATCAAAACTTTTAGAAGCTGGAAGCTCAAAGTATCATGTAAGCCAAGGCTCCTCTCTACAAAAAGATACTGCATAGTATTGGTACATTATGCTGGTGTTATTGTCCATTACTTTTTTAATGACAGAACAGTGGTAAAAGGAGCCCCTAGTGGCGCAGCGGGTTAAACCGCTGAGCTACTGAACTTGCTGACTACAAGGTTGGCGGTTCGAATCTAGGGAGACGGGTTGGATCCTGCTGTTAGCCCCAGCTTCTGACAAACTAGCAGTTTGAAAACATGCAAATGTGAGTATTTATTTATTTATTTATTTATTTAGCGTGTCATCAGCAGCCAGACATTTGTATTACATTTTTAACAAAAACAAACAAAAAACAGTAAAAAAACACAGATTTTGCAAGCTTGGTAGTTGATTAAATGTCCTTTGATCAATAGCTGGCCACTTGGAGTGCCTCTGGTGTTGCTGCAAGGAGGTCCTCCATTGTGCATGTAGCAGGGCTCAGGTTACATTGCAGCAGGTGGTCAGTGGTTTGCTCTTCTCCACACTCGCATGTTGTGGATTCCACTTTGTAGACCCATTTCTTAAGATTGGCTCTGCATCTTGTGGTGCCAGAGCGCAGTCTGTTCAGCACCTTCCAAGTTGCCCGGTTTTCTGTGTGCCCAGGGGGGAGTCTCTCATTTGGTATCAGCCATTGATTGAGGTTCTGGGTTTGAGCCTGCCACTTATGGACTCTCGCTTGCTGGGGTGTTCCAGCAAGTGTCTCTGTAGATCTTAGAAAACTATTTCTTGATTTAAGTCATTGACGTGCTGGCTGATATCCAAACAAAGGATGGGCTGGAGATGTCACTGCCTTGGTCCTTTCACTATTGGCTGCTACTTCCTGGTGGATGTCAGGAGGTGTGATACCAGCTAGACAGTGTAATTTCTCCAGTGCTGTAGGGCACAGACACCCCGTAATAATGTGGCATGTAAATGTGAGTAGATCAATAGGTACCACTCCAGCGGGATGGTAATGGTGCTCCATGTAGTCATGTCGGCCACATGTCCTGGAGGCATCTATGGACAACGCTGGCACTTTGCCTTAGAAATTGAGATGAACACCACCACTCAGAGTCAGACACAACTGGACTTAATTGCGTTTGTCAAGGGGAAACCTTGCGTAATGTCAAGGGGAAACCTTTACCTTTTTTACAGTGGTAAAGTGTGGGGGGGGGGCAAGAGAAAGTTGCCTTCATAACCATTTAAATCTTTCATTTCCTGAGCAGTCTGCTTATCTAGGCCTGATTTTTCAGAAGATCCTTGAAGTGAAAGTCACTCTGTGAACGGTGCCTTGGAAAACCATCT